AAAAAAAAAACAACATTACACGTTGGCTCGAAGATATGAATTTTATGTTCTCGTGGCAACAACAATATCTCACGAGTGAGCGAAGCGAACGAGTGAGATATTGTTCTTGCCACTCGAACATAAAATTCATACCTTCTCACCACCGTGTAATATCCTCTTTATATGGGTTATTGACCAAGTGTGAGGTCATGATGGCTGGATATTGGTCAAGTTCTTTTTTTTGCGTGTTTATGAAGCGAGACGAAGTCGAGGTCCATAAACTCGCAAAAAAAGAACGATGCTAATATGCAGGCCATCTTGACCGAACAAGCTTGGTCAATAAAGGGACACGGCGGGTAGTCCCGACCGGGCAAGACAGCTCCATCTTGCCCGCTCGGGTAGCTGATCACAGCGCAGGATTTGATTCATTTTGCCCGCTCAAGGAGCTAGCCATATAAGAAGGTCTATTATTGGACAACAAATTCCTCTAATAATCCTAGAATGACACTGGGTCTCTTACTTGTGATTCTTACAACGTACATTGACAGGCTTTCGCTGTTTTCTCTAGCACCCTGTCAAGATGCCGTACCACAATTTCTGTGCGCGTATTATAAAGGCCAGTCGCTCTGCTCTAAAACTAACGCTTACGTGTTTGCCAACTGCAAGAAAACGTGCAATTTTTGTAGTGCTGGTAAGTTACATGTATTATTCTTTTGTTTGATTATTGAAGAAAAATCATATATTACTTACAGGACATACATTACATGATGGGGAGGACAAGATACGATTCAATACTAAATAAGAACACTGAATATCTAATTAATAATAAAAATAACTGAAATTATAATCCATCAAATATTTCCGCTCGCGCGCGATTGGTCTAAACACGTCACGTGACCGAATATTATCCAATGTTCAAAGCTGCGGGTGTTGCGAAAAATATTTGAAGGATAATACGCTCTCGGAAAACTGTTCGCTTCTCGGAACAGATAATGTCCGCAGACAAATATCCTAACATATTTTCGCGCCAAATGGAGGCTATTGTTTATTTAACAATTAGTAAGTAAAAGAGAAAAAATAAAACAACAACAACAACAATTAAAGAGACATCAACAAGCAGACTTGTGTAACTGGTGCCTAGTGAAAAACCATAAGAAATGTTTTTAGAGTTTGCGGTTGTCGTAGTTGTCATCTTCATCGTTATCATCATTTTTTAACAAAATAAAAACAGATACAATCACAAGAAAATGACAGAGCGAAGGGACTTCTAAAAATCCACCAGGCTTTCAGTGGATGCCACCTCAGTTGTTACTTAAGTATAAATTTTAAGCTTTGTGTGCGGCATAACTGATTCAGCATCATTTATTTCATTAAAAATGTAATAATCTTTTTTCTTAAAACTAGAAAAGCTTGTTGAACTAGTAATAGATACTTCCAGGCAGAGAATTCCAAATTGTTACGATTATTTCATGCTAGGAGAAAAAGGGGCTGGCAAGTACGTTTTTACGGCAACCAATGTATGCGGACAGGGACTTCCATTTCTCAATGAAAGCTTTACTGGGAACAGCTTTGTTTCTCCACAAGTGCCAGTATTGATACGGGTCGCAAGCTGAATCCCGCGGTATCTTTTGGTGTATTTTGCAGGTGTATGAATAATATCGTGTAAGTCGTTTGTCCAGGTCAAGTCTGGTCTAGTGTTTAAGCCAAACGTCATAGGTTAGGCTTATTTGCCTCAGTTTCCGAATAATGCAATACCGAACGCTAAGATGAGCCTGGAATGTCATTCATCTCCCGACTTTAGCTTAGTCCCCGGGCGAGAGACCCGGGGACAGGAGATGACCAACATTTCAGGCCAGGCGAAGATCGACCGCTCACGAATTCGCTTCGATAAATTGCTTTTTCAGAACATTGCTAAAAGAGAAGGACGTTTTTAAGTGAAAATAATTTTCTATTGATATTTGGCAAATTTATCTATCATATGCATTCCGTGAATACCCTGATTTCTATGCCCAGTAGGACCTCACGCTAGGTTGATGACATACATGCTAGAGTTACAGAAAAGCATTTTCTTGTCTAGAAATATTTCAATAATCTTTAATTGGAAACTCCGAATTTTAAACTAGACAAAACATTTCATTCTACAATGCTTCCAATCACAATTACGACATCGACCATCATACTTTAAAAAAAAAAAATAATAATCGTTAGCAAATCACAAGTTACGCGACTTTCTTCAACCTGCCGAATTGGAGAATCCTTGTTTACAATATTTGCCTCATTAGCATAAGTAATTCAGTTTCTGATGGAACTTTAAATAAATCAGCTCTGAATATTGAAAGGCCACAGTACGGTTGATTCCACCAATAAATATGAACCTGATGTATTGAATACCTTTTGCCAACACGGGTTTAAAAACTCAAAATTTTACAAAGAATGTATGCATGAGCTCATTAGCGCTTTTGCCACCCAGAAATTTTGCAGTGTTTGAAAGACAATTTCTCCTTGAATATTACACGCAAAGAGCTTAAAATCTCACCATGTATTAAGTTTCACTAGCTCTTTAGCTGCCTGGGGTCAATTCATATCTAACATGTTTCCTTCTGTACGCAAAGCCGTATGCAAATGAGCATAAATGTAAACAATGACGTCAGCATGAATCCCCCCATAGAATAACTTGATTTGAAGTAGTCCGGTTATGAACTTTATAATTAATTACAGGTAGCATAAATTAGTTATTTCTTCTGAAACTTAACTCCCTTGGCTACGACCACTGACCGAGGGCAAATAAACTTTAAGTAATTTATTCATTAATAATCTTTACACTTCTTGCCCGGGTTGTTAGAAAGGTGGACAACGTTATCCATCGGATAAATCACTATCCAGTGTATGGCGTGGTTTGTTTCATTGACAATTATCCACTGGATAGCGAATTATCCTGTGGGTAACGTTATCCACCTTTTGAACAACTGGAGCTTTGTGTTTAAGTGATTTCTAGGTAAATTTCTCTCTATATATTATCTTAAGGGTGAGGGACCAAGCTTACAGGACCGGACACCGTCTTTACAAGAAACACGAAGGAACAAAAACTTACAGCAAGTCCACTTTATAAGTAGTTTTAATTTACACGTTTAAAGCAAAGAAAACCAAAATAATATGAACATGCATAAAGTAATAAAATAGGTGAACTAAAGAAATAAAACGAACTGAGTGAAGTAAAGGTTAAGTAAAATGAATGAGAAGTAGATAATATAAGTAATCACTGTTATATTCCAAAATGTTATAGATGTAGTATTTCGTTAAAACAATAAAGAAGTGCATACAGAGATCAAAGTTATTTGTTTGCTTATATGTAATGAATATTGTGTGCCTGTAGACTACGGACTATATGAACTCTCCATATAAGTTCTTTAATTCAACGGGCAAGGGTGTCGCATGTGAAGCCACAACCATGGACAAATTTTATGGGAAATTGCGCAAAAACATGAGATCATAACCGTAAAACCTACAGAATAAGTATCAGGACCCCCATGCCCCCTTTAAATGTTGGAAAATGGTAAAATGCAAACTTGTGTCAGATAAAAGTGTTTTGTCAACATTACACAGGGGTGGGGGAAGGCAAAAAGCGTATAGACTGAATTATTCTAACCCTTGTGACCAAGGTTGTAGGTGAGTGACATGATACACGTTCGACTAGCCACCACCAAAAATAAGTCAAACATAGTTATGGGAACGGAGAGATAGCGGGGTATTCTGTCTAAACAGTGACCCTCTCTTTTCCTTGCAAAAAGGTACCACATTTAATGCATGTTCGATTCTAACTGAAGTAAAGCGTTCTATAGTATCAAATTCACTTGCAAGTGAATGCAAGCGAGCGAGTGCATTTTTTTGTTCGTTGATAAGCTAGCTTACGCAAAGTGGAGAAAAGTACCTTTTGCCAGTTTCCATACTACAGTTGTGCATAATTTGGGCATATAAAAAAGAAAAATGACAGGCAGTTCACAATTACCAGAAACCGTCTTACACATAGCAGACGTAAGGATGTGATCATGCCTCAGTTTAGATGACTGCGTCAATGGGCGATAAAGTTGCACTAAGTCTTTTTAGAAATCGGTTGGATGATAACTGATTAACGATAAAAAAGGCACGACGTTTCCACCTCGCCGAGGTCATTTTCAAGTGCCAGCAAATATATTTCATTTGGTATTTTTTCTTTTAAATATTGTATTTAGATCTAGAATTTCTAAGAAAAGCGGGGCCTTGCGACTGGACAACGACAGGATTTCTAATAAAAATTAAACCACTCGNACCAAAATAATATGAACATGCATAAAGTAATAAAATAGGTGAACTAAAGAAATAAAACGAACTGAGTGAAGTAAAGGTTAAGTAAAATGAATGAGAAGTAGATAATATAAGTAATCACTGTTATATTCCAAAATGTTATAGATGTAGTATTTCGTTAAAACAATAAAGAAGTGCATACAGAGATCAAAGTTATTTGTTTGCTTATATGTAATGAATATTGTGTGCCTGTAGACTACGGACTATATGAACTCTCCATATAAGTTCTTTAATTCAACGGGCAAGGGTGTCGCATGTGAAGCCACAACCATGGACAAATTTTATGGGAAATTGCGCAAAAACATGAGATCATAACCGTAAAACCTACAGAATAAGTATCAGGACCCCCATGCCCCCTTTAAATGTTGGAAAATGGTAAAATGCAAACTTGTGTCAGATAAAAGTGTTTTGTCAACATTACACAGGGGTGGGGGAAGGCAAAAAGCGTATAGACTGAATTATTCTAACCCTTGTGACCAAGGTTGTAGGTGATTGACATGATACACGTTCGACTAGCCACCACCAAAAATAAGTTAAACATAGTTATGGGAACGGAGAGATAGAGGGGTATTCTGTCTAAACAGTGACCCTCTCTTTTCCTTGCAAAAAGGTACCACGTTTAATGCATGTTCGATTCTAACTGAAGCAAAGCGTTCTATAGTATCAAATTCACTTGCAAGTGAATGCAAGCGAGCGAGTGCATTTTTTTGTTCATTGAGAAGCTAGCTTACGCAAAGTGGAGAAAAGTACCTTTTACCAGTTTCCATACTACATATGTGCATAATTTGGGCATATAAAAAAGAAAAATGACAGGCACTTCACAATTACCAGAAACCGTCTTACACATAGCAGACGTAAGGATGTGATCATGCCTCAGTTTAGATGACTGCGTCAATGAGCGATAAAGTTGCACTAAGTCTTTTTAGAAATCGGTTGAATGATAACTGATTAACGATAAAAAAGGCACGACGTTTCCACCTCGCCGAGGTCATTTTCAAGTGCCAGTAAATATATTTCATTTGGTATTTTTTCTTTTAAATATTGTATTTAGATCTAGAATTTCTAAGAAAAGCGGGGCCTTGCGACTGGACAACGACAGGATTTCTAATAAAAATTAAACCACTCGCTTCTCCAGCGGGGTCTTTTTAGCAAGAAGCTGAAGCCGGAAACAGTAGGGTTTGTTGAAGAAAGCATTTTGGGAACTGAGAATTATACTTGTGCTCTTTCTACTTGGTATTACTAAATAGCACAAAGAAAATACGCGGGCTGATAATCGAGGCACTGCGGTTGGCTGGTACCAAGTTGGATAACTTGCCCCAATTCCTCTCGCTCTCGATGCTTACGGACAACGCTTCAGCCAGTCCAATATACATTACTTGTGTACTCACATGCATGACATGTCTTCGGGCACAGCTCCTTCACGGACGGCATAATTTGGCAATACATTTTCCAGCCAGGACAGGCTTCATTTTTGTCTTGACAGCCTTAAAACGAACGATAATCATAGAAAAAAATAACCAAAAAAAAAAAAAATTAGAATAAAATAACAACAATAACAACAACAACAAAAAACAAATTATACAGTGTTTGCTGGGTGCTAAAAGTTATATTTTTGTTGCCCTGGAACCAAACTGGCGACTGCTATGCCCCTGTGTGTGTTTACATTTTTCGTGAACTACGTACCTTGCAGAGATATGGGACATGTGTTATGGTTAGAATGCGTGAAAGCTTAAGCTTTCAAACTAGATAAAGACCATGCAAACAGCCTTTTTTGTGCCAATACGGCCGCCATTCTGAATTCCATTGTTTTCAATAGCTATTATGGGAAAAAAAGG